ATAGTGAGAAAAGTGATTCGATTTCTTTAGTTGATTATTATTTTTTATGTTTTAAATTCTTTTTTTATAGCGTTTACTTATTTACTTGGGGGGGGGGCAGAGAATAAGCAAGCAGGGGAGGGGCAGAGAGAGAGGGAGACACAGAATCCGAAGCAGGCTCCAGGTTCCGAGCCGTCAGCACAGAGCCCGATGCGGGGCTCGAACTCATGAACCGTGAGATCATGACCTGAGCCGGTCAGATGCTTAACTGACCGTGCCACCCAGGCGCCCTGCAGTTCAATTTCTGAAAGAAGGAAGTTGTGTTTTGAAAAACATCCTGAATCAGGTTTTCAGGGGCCTGTGAGTAGACAGGTCCAGCTGGGGGTCTGGTTGCATGGGGTGGTTCTGACCTGTGCTGTTCACTTTCCTGGGCCTTGAGCAAGTCCTTGGGCCCCTCTTGCCAGGCTCCAGTTTCTCCATCTAGGCGAGTGAGGAGCAGGGAGGTCTGCTCTGGGCTTCACCGTCACATGGAGAGCGTGCACGGTGGGCATTTGCTGCAACCTGATGCCTGCCCCCCCCCCCCCTCACTGGGCAGGGTCTCTTCCTGGCCTCTGACATTCAGCAGCTGCGGCAGGCCATCGAGGAGTGCAAGCAGGTGATTCTGGAGCTGCCCGAGCACTCGGAGAAGCAGAAGGATGCCGTTGTTCGGCTCATCCACCTCCGGCTGAAACTCCAGGAGCTGAAGGTGTGTGCTGACCTACCTACCATGGAGGCCGAGGGGGGAATGTAGGAATCTCCCCTTCCAGATGCTGAGGGGCTGAAAGGGTGGGCCCTTGCCCCTTGTGGAGGCTATTTCTCTATTATTAGTCTGATCTTGATTGGCCAGTCCTGGTCTCATGCCACCTACTGGAGCAAGTAAGTGAGGTAAGGCCTGCCTCGAACCTCATTACCTAGAGTTGGTGGGTGTGTGTGTGTGGGGTGGTTCCTGAGGATTTTGCAAAGGGGACAGTGGTAAGGGTAATGGATTCTGGAGGCCAAAACCCATAGCTGTCCTTGAAGTCCTTGAGTGTGTGCACTCTTTAGCTTGGCTGCCATTGGGTCCCTGACTGGCTCATGAATCCCTGGAAACTTAGAAACTAGAATATTCACTAGGATATAGGTAAGGGTATGGTAACAAAGATGCCCCCAAATCCAGTGGTTTAAAGGAGTCAGATGTATACTTTTACTTATGTAGAAACCCTATGGGTGGCCTAGAGCCCATACGGCAACTAATGGTGTTGGGGATCCCAGGCCCTCCAGTCCTTGTGAGAATCCAAGATGGCCTCATGGCACTTTGGGTCTGTACTTAGCAGAAAAAACGTGGGAGGGGGGAGAAGGCCATGTCACTCCTGCTCACACACCCTTGGCCCTAACATGGTCCCAGGACAGCACCTAGGTGCAGGAGATGTTGGGAAAATCAGTCTGTACTCTGGGTGGTTCAGGCCTGACTCATCACTGGCGATTTCTTTCGCTAAAGGGAAAAGGGGGGGGAGCTCACAATATGTGCTGTAAACGGTACCTGGAAGAACTAGCCCCAGGGGCTCATGGGAGGGGAAAGGAGTTACAGCAGGCTCACCTGTCTGGTCTCTCTAGGACCCCAACGAGGACGAGCCCAACATCCGAGTCCTCCTCGAGCACCGTTTCTACAAGGAGAAGAGCAAGAGTGTCAAGCAAACCTGTGACAAGTGCAACACCATTATCTGGGGGCTCATTCAGACCTGGTACACCTGTACAGGTGGGCTGAGCTCCAGACCTGCTCCTTCTGGGTGGGTAGTCCTGGTCCCCAGGGCAAGGCAGAGACCTTCAGCCCTGCTGCCCTATCTGGGCTGTGTTCCGGAGAGTTCTCTGCAGTGTGCTCAGTATTTTGCTGAGCCCTGAGGAATACTGGGCATAAAACAAGGGACAAGAGACTCAAACTCCTGCCTTTATCAGGGTCACATCCACGTTCGGCTTTCTAGTATAGTAGCCACGAGCCACACGTGAACTCAAACTGATTCAAACAAGTAACGATTTAGTTCCTTACTAGTGCTGTCTACATTACGAGTGCTTAATGGCCACATGAGGCTGGGGGCTGCCATATTGGTCAGTACAAAGAAAACGTTTCCATTATGGCTGAACATCTCTATGGATGGTGCTGTTCTGAACGAGCATATGGTGTGTTAGACAGTTGGAGAAACGTAAGGAAAGAGAATAGTGTAGGTCAGGGAGTGCGTAGGTCAGGTGTGACTTTAGGGTGGAATAAAAAGGCATCACGTGACATTCAAGCAACACTTGGAAGTCAGGGAGCGAGTCAGGAGTATATGTGGGGAAGAATGGCCCTCGTGGGGGGGACTTGGCTAGATACACTGGCTGGTGTGTGTCCAGTGTCTTCAGTGTGGAGCAGAGAAAAGTGTGGCTGGGCCATTGCAACTGAGAGGAGGTTGGTGGAGGTGGGCTCAGAGGCGACCAGGTACTTTCTCTAAGTGCACCGGGGGCCGTAGGTCGGTGCTGGACATGCTTAGGTTTTAACGAGATCACTCTGGCTGCTGAGCTGAGCACCAGCTGAAGGAGAAGTGCAGAGATGGACGGGGAGGATGATGGCACTCTGATCGGGGTGGGGCTGTTTTGGAGGAGAAGAGCCCAGGTGCAGCACTGCCTGAAGGGCTGCAGATGGGCGTAAGAGTGGAGTTGAGATGATTCACCAATTTTAGTCTCAGTAGGTGGAAGGTTGGAGTCATTGAAACGCGAGGCGGGAAAACCATGTGTGGGAGGTGGGTTTGTCAAGGAAGAATGAGAATTCCGTTTAGACTGAGCGAGTCTGATGCCCTTCAGGCATCCAGGTGGGAATGGCCGGTGGTCTGGAGGTGAGGACGAAGGCCCGCACGCACCCACAGGGCAAGGCTTGGGAGGGGGCCTGACAAGGTCTTTCAAGTTCTGGGGCCTGCGGTGGGGCCTGGAGAAGCTCTCAGGTCGAGCTGAAGGCCAGTCCAGGCTGCAGGATCCCCTCCCTCCCCCGTCTGAGAGGCACGTTGCTGGTCCTCCCCACCCCAGGCTGTTATTACCGCTGTCATAGCAAGTGCTTGAACCTCATCTCCAAGCCCTGCGTGCGCTCCAAAGTCAGCCACCAAGCGGAATACGAGCTGAACATCTGCCCCGAGACAGGGCTGGACAGCCAGGATTACCGCTGCGCGGAGTGCCGGGCGCCCATCTCTCTGCGTGAGTGCCCCCGGAGAGAGCAGGGCGCAGGGTGAGGGAGGCTGCTCCGGGCAGGGTACCCCGGCCAACAGCTGTGAGAAACTTGGATCAGTCAGACGCTAAGGACGGCTTGGCTCCTGTGGATGGTGTCCTGCTCTCTCTCCTTGAGGAGTGAGAAGGGGCTGCTACGGGTGCCTTTTCTCTTCCCACTCAGCACACCGGGCTCCCGCCTAGGTCACGTGGGAGTGCTCACAAGGCTGCCCTGCGCCAGCCTCCCCGGCGGCCCCAGCGTCACAGGAAGCCCGCCTGGACGGGAAAAACGGCACGACAGTCGCTCGCTCGTGCGCCATATGTTAGGCCTTCTTCCAGAGAGTTACTGATGTTAATTTATGGGGTCCTCTCAGCAGTCCCGTGGTGGGGGTTATTGTCCCGTTTTACTGATGACAAAGCTGAGGGTAGCCGGGTGCCTGATTTGCTTCAGGTCTTGGGGCTCAGAAGAGGTTGCGTCAGGTCTGGAGGGTGGCTGTTTCCCTGTATGTGGCCCCTTCCTTCCACAGGGGGCGTGCCCAGCGAGGCCCGGCAGTGTGACTACACCGGCCAGTACTACTGCAGCCATTGCCACTGGAATGACCTGGCTATCATCCCTGCACGAGTTGTGCACAACTGGGACTTTGAGCCGCGCAAGGCAGGGGCGGTGGGGGAGGGGGGCTCGTATACAGGCTGAGTGGGGAGGAAGTGTAGCCCCAAGGACGGAGAGCCAGTGCTCAGGCCTGGGGGGTGGGGGGAGCGGATCTTGGTCCTGGGGGGGGGGGTGGGGGGGGGTAGTATGTGTAATGCTGGAGGTGCCACTCCATCATGTCCCCCAGGTGTCCCGCTGCAGCATGCGCTACCTGGCACTGATGGTGTCTCGTCCGGTCCTCAGGCTCCGCGAGATCAACCCTCTGCTCTTCAACTACGTGGAGGAGCTGGTGGAGATCAGGGTGAGGCTGGAGGGGGCAGGGTGGACGTTGTTCTCCCCCCCCCCCCCCCGCCCCGTGTCCTGGGAGGAGAGATGCCACCTGCTGAGGGCTAGTGAGGCCCCTTGGCTATCTTTAGGGTTAAAGACACTAGAGCAGTGTCCGGTCACAATGACAGTAGGCCTAGAGGCAATTTGAAATTTTCTAGTAGCCGCCTTAAAAGTAAAACGCAGGTGAAATTAATTTTAACAATATATTTTATTTGGTCCAATGTATCCAAAAGATTATTGCAACATAATTAACGTACTACATTATTGAGATGTATTGCATTCTTTCTCTTTTTTGTACAATGTGTCTGAGGATAAATGCA